AAGCAAACAAGTACAAAATTTAAATATCTAGAAAGTGCTTCAACAGGGGATGGAAAGTGCAACACTGAAATCCAAAGGTGCATTGGGATAACTAAAGATGCATTCCAAAAGCTAAGCAGAGTATTAACAAACGGAAACATTTTTACTAAAAACAAAGAAAAGAATACTGAACTGCTATGTAATATCTGTCCTCCTATATGGCAATGAATGCTGGGAAATTTCCTCACAGATAGAGATGTAACTTTAAGCAAGAGAAACAAAGAAAAGAGTACTGAAAGTTTCCATAATATGTCCTATACGGCAGTGAATGCTGGGTAATCTCCTCACAGATGGAGAAGAATCTTTAAGCAAGAGAAACAAAGAAAAGAGTACTGAACTTTTCCGTAATATGTCCTCATATATGGCAGTGAATGCTGGGCAATCTCTTCAAAGAAGAAAAGACTTAGATTAGTACTCTCTTTAAATTTTGGGGAATGTGGAGGAAGGAAAGAAATTTGCAAGCCTATGTGAGATTTTTACCTTCCACAGAAATTAAGTTTTAGCGAGAAAGGAAACAAAAATAAAACTTATATGGAGTATCTGGAAAAGATGGTTGAAATTATGAGGAAAGATGGCTTGGAAAATTAGATACTCACAGGACAGATTGAAGGCACAGAGGTACAGAGGAAAACAAAGCATAACTTTGTGAGGTTGAGTAAAAGGATGGCAGAACAAGGTTTAGGAGAAATTAAGAAAAGACAAAATTTATTAAGAGCTATGAAGGACAGGAAATTGTGGAGAGCCTACATCCTGAAGGGTCATCATACATGAAGAAGAAACCAAAAGATAATATTTCTTAATAGATTAATAATTGCTTAAAGTGAACATTTCATAAAGTGCGAAATTTACACTTACCATAAACAGAGGCACCAGGAAGGCAATAGACATAGTTTTTGCTATCGACTTCATATATTTTATTTGGTTTTGGCAATATTTGATAAAGCTTTTCATTTGAATATGAAAAGAGATTCATTCTGAAAAAAAATAAAATTAATTAATACTTAATGTCTAATATCAATTGTTTAAATATAAAATACATTTGAACGAGTAAGGTTGTGAGTGTGAAATAATAACTCACTTACGCTCTTCAAATTTTGGGGAATGTGGAGGAAGGAAAGAAATTTGCAAGCCTATATGAGATTTTTACCTTCCACAGAAATTAACTAGTGAGCTGATGAAGAAGGAAAGAAATTTGCAAGGTTATGTAAAGGTTTTTTAGACCAATGAAAATCTAGCTTTCACTGAAATTAGCTGGTGAGCCAAGAAGAAGGAAAGAAAGTAGCAGTCAGGCATTTTCATCCTTGTAGTTGATGGATTTAATGAGTGATTGCATATATCTTGATATGTCCCAAGGATTTCATTTAAGCATTAAGTAGACTGTCACTACCAGCCGTTGACATCAATTTCCACTTTTATATTTATGTATGCTCTAACCCTGATATTGAGCACTTTAACCCATGAATGTAACATACATTAAAACTATATTTTTATCATATGTATATATATATATATATATATATATATATATATATTAAGCAAATTGAGACCTCTCAGTTACTGTGTGTTTATCTAAAAATAAATACGCTTAAATTCACCTTCATCCCTGCCGTGTGCTGACGGCTTAGTAGTAGAATCTCTGACTGACACCAATTCAGCCAGGTTTCAATCCTAGCTAAAGGCAAAACGAACATCTAGCCACACTGATGAGCTGTGATACAGCGAAACAGTCCATCTGTGGATGACAATATATATGTATATATATATATATATATATATGGTATAAGAATGACAATAGGAAAAATCTTAGTTTTTTCGATGCATTTCATCTTCCAACTTTATCAAGGCAAAATTGAAGCGAAATGTTTTTGTTTTCATAGTTACATTAAATCCAAAATTTAAAAAGATAGAGACGCATTTGCATAAGCCTCTTTCTGGCTAATGTTAACTTCCTTTATACTAAGAGTTTTTCTTCTTTTTTTTTCCATGTCGACATTATAGTAAAATTCCCAGAAAGTGTCTCTCTCTTTTTACTTTTTGGATTTAATGTAACTATTAAAACAAAAACATTTCCCTTCAATTTTGCCTTGATAAAGTCGGAAGATGAAACATGTTGGCAAAAAACTAAAATGTTTTTCCTATTGTCATTTTTATACCAATTTGTATTATCCACAGAATTGCTCTGGGAATTTTATATATATATATATTCATACACGTTTCATTAAATAATATAGACAAGTGTTGTCTATTTATTTTATGTAAATTCTTTTCATAACGCCTGATAAGCTTAATAACATTATCATTAAACGAAGAAAGAAAATCACAATATTGATCCATATTTTTTAATCCAATCTAAGCTTTCAGCTTACATAAGCCATAATCAAAGATGACAATTACTGTACAATATATTAAGCAATACACGGACAAGAATGTGATCTCTCTCTCTTTCTTGTTCATCACAAGAATGTCATCTCTCTCCTTCTTGTTCATCACTCGTCTCCCCCCACCTTGTTCATCACTCGTCTCTCGCAGTCTTGTTCATCACTCGTCTCTCGCCATCTTGTTCATCACTCGTCACTCTCCGTCTTGTTCATCACTCGTCTCTCCCTGTCTTGTTCATCACTCGTCTCTCCCCACCTTGTTCATCACTCGTCTCTCTCCGTCTTGTTCATCACTCGTCTCTCTCCGTCTTGTTCATCACTTGTCTCTCCTCGTCTTGTTCATCACTCGTCTCTCCCCGTCTTGTTCATCACTTGTCTCTCTTCATCTTGTTCATCACTCGTCTCTCCCCGCCTTGTTCATCACTCGTCTCTCCCCATCTTGTTCATCACTCGTCTCTCCCCGTCTTGTTCATCACTTGTCTCTCTCCGTCTTGTTCATCACTTGTCTCTCTTCATCTTGTTCATCACTCGTCTCTCCCCGCCTTGTTCATCACTCGTCTCTCCCCGTCTTGTTCATCACACGTCTCTCCCCGTCTTGTTCATCACTTGTCTCTCTCCGTCTTGTTCATCACTTGTCTCTCCCCATCTTGTTCATCACTCGTCTCTCCCCGTCTTGTTCATCACTCGTCTCTCTCCGTCTTGTTCATCACTTGTCTCTCTCCATCTTGTTCATCACTTGTCTCTCTTCATCTTGTTCATCACTCGTCTCACCCCACCTTGTTCATGACTTGTCTCTCGCCGTCTTGTTCATCACTCGTCTCTCCCCGTCTTGTTCATCACTCGTCTCTCTCCATCTTGTTCATCACTTGTCTCTCTTCATCTTGTTCATCACTCGTCTCTCCCCACCTTGTTCATCACTTGTCTCTCGCCGTCTTGTTCATCACTCGTCACTCTCCGTCCTGTTCATCACTCGTCACTCTCCGTCCTGTTCATCACTCGTCTCTCCCCGTCTTGTTCATCACTCGTCTCTCCCCGTCTTGTTCATCACTCGTCTCTCTCCGTCTTGTTCATCACTTGTCTCTCTCTTCATCTTGTTCATCACTCGTCTCTCCCCGCCTTGTTTATTACTCCTCTCCCCCTATCTTGTTTATTACTTGTCTCATTACTCGTCTCTCCCAATCTTGTTCAACACTCGTCTCTCCCCATCTTGTTCACTACTTGTCTCTTCCTGTCTTCTTCATTACCCGTCTCTCGCTGTCTTATTCTTTACTTGTCTCTCTGCCACTACTGCTCCCTGTCTTTCTTATTTATTATCTCTCTCTCTCTCTCTCTCTCTCTCTCTCTCTCTCTCTCTCTACCTTGTTCATAATTTTCCATCAGTCTGTCTTTCCATATATTTATTACTTTTAGTTCATATCTCTGCAGAAGCAGAATGCAGGGTAGAACAAATCATTTTATTTTTAAATCATCTAAAAGGGATTAATTGAAATCCCATGTATTTTATTCAAAGAAGACATATGTAAACCACTTTTACATGTTCTTGGCTTATAGATAAAATTAATTTGAAAATTTCAACCACCTACTTCATAGCAGATTGTCTGAATTTTGTAATCAGCCTCCCATATGGGTTTACTGGTTTCACCATAAGGACGTAAATCAAATAATCCTCCCAAACTTCATCAAGATGAACGTCCAGCAAATACTGTAATGTAAAAACAAAAATTATTGAAATTAATTGCAAAGGTCTTGTTACCATTTAATTCATGGTGCAAAATACAAATTGAAAACACTAAAATCAAACCAGGGCAAAAATTTAAATATCTAAGAAGTGTTTTAACAGAGAATAGAAAATCATACTTATTATAAAATTCAGGTTGTGTGTGTGTGTGTGTGTGTGTTTGTTTATATATTGGATCGGATTTCCTACATTTTTCAACCGATTTCAACAAAACTTCACAGGACTATGTAAAATTACCTTGCGGTGGTTCTGACAGTGCCAAATATTGGAAAAACACAATTGTTTTTGCACAAAATCAATTTGAAAACATGATTAAGAGGCATCGCTGTCACGAGAATGAAAGGGGGACAACTCATATCGAATTATACTTATTATAAAACCCAGGTTGTGTGTGTGTGTCTGTGTTCATTTATATATGGGATCAGATTTCCTACATTTTTCAACCGATTTCAACAAAACTTCACTTTTTTTTTCGCAGGTAGTGTTTCTTATTGTCTTGCACACTTTTTCCTTTTTTTTACATTCAGAATGCTTTAAAAATTCCATTTACAAGACAATTGTTTATAATAAAATTCTATTCAATCGGTAGACTCATAATGATTGAAAACAATGTTTTTGTTTGAGTTTGGGTTTGACCAATTCGTAAAAAAAAAGAAAAACAAAAAAAAAAACTAATTAAGACATGCGTGTCCGTCAACCTTAAACAATAATCTTTGTCAATTTTATTTTTCAGTCTTTATGATGGTCAATACTTGATCTATCTCTTACTGTTACATTCCCGGGCAACACCGGGCTCTACTGCTAGTATGAGATAAAAATACAAAGGCGCAACAAAAGATGCCTTGCAAAAGCTAAGCAATGTATTAGTTTGGTTTATTTTGTTTTACGACATATTAACACTTCACTGGCTTATTTAATGCCAACAACATTTTTAGGATAGCTTTGTATGATTAGAATATGTCAGTCAGTTATGCGCCATATATGATATACATGCTTAGGTGATCATGTATCTTTTGATACATGACTGATGAGGCAGATTTTTTTCTGCAGTAACTTGTCATTTCTTTCTGCAGTAGACCAGTTTCCATCCAAGGCTATAGAACCCGGTCTGTCCTGCTATTTACCTGTGGGGGGGGGGAGAAGAAGAGGATTCATACCTTTCCCAAGGGTATTAGCACATAATTCAATGTTAAGGATTTGACTGAAATTCAAACTCGGCTCTCCAATTCCTCAATCTGAGCCACTATCCATAACCCCACTGTATTTGTAAGAAATCAGTTTGTAGATCAGGTTTCATGGATGTATTTTTGTAAAGAGGGTTTTTGTCGACAAACAAATGAATTGCTGGTAATTGTTTTTCTTTATATGTATTGCTGGCATTTTTACTATAAAAGTCTATTTTTATACTTTCATATTGTTTTGCCCCCAGTTTGGGGGTTAACTATTCACCCATAGCTGGGACTCTAACAGTTGCTACTACCCCAGGTCAAGGTAGACCTGGGGACAACTTCAATTAAAAGGTGGTTCCACACTTCTCAAAACCTCCTGATCAGAGATCTTGCTGCCAGATGTAGTTTATCATCATACCCAGGATGCTAAGCAAAGTATTAAGAAATAGTAAAATTTCATTAGAAACAAAGAAAAGCTTTCTGAGCAGTTATGCAATATAAGTCCTCTTATATGGTACTGAATGCTGGACAATCTCCACCCAGATTAAGAAGAGACTTGAGGTAACAGAGATCTGGTTCTACAGAAAGATGCTGAGAATGCCATGGAATGAACATGTAAGTAATGTGAAAGTTTTAAGGAAAATAGAAACAAAAAGGGCATTGATACTTAACCCCAGAAAGACATTTGATATTTTTAGGAAACATAATGAGGAAAGAGAACTTAGAGAATTTGACACTCATAAGTATTGGTTCCAATCCTGTATAGGAATGACTGCAAAAACATGCCCCTTCCTAAATTTATGGACAAAACATACAGATACATGCTGTGATTTCTTCCTCGTCAATAAGGTAGGCCACTTCTTGGTCTCATCCAACTTAGTTCAGTTCATTCTTTTGTAATTTTTTTATAAATTTTTAGAATAAGAAGATAGCTTTTTAAATTTATTTCTTCATAAAATGTTAAATAATAAATCTTTATAAAAGGTAAATAATAAATATAACATTGTACTTGGTTTACATATTTTTATAAATCTTGACTCCTGCAGCAATGTTTGTTTTTAAAAAGTGATGTTTAGAATTTTAATAAAACCTGAACATCTGACAGGGTTTATACATCTTCTCTGTTCTTCAGAATTGACAAAAACAATATTAAAAACTATTTAGATCACTGATTTATAAGAATAATTTTATACTTAAAAGAATATATGAACCATCTATAATGAAATATTTATAAAAAAATAAATATGAAAAGAATTTTTTATTCATAAATTTATAAAAATATCTGTGAACAAGAAAATTTAAATAAACACATAACAACAAGTAAATGTAATTATTAATTTTGAAAAATTGCATTTTCTGGGGATTTCTTTCATTTGCTCTCAATATAAATTCACTAAAAAATTAGGTTGAGAGCATCTCTTACTCTTACATATTTTGATAATTTTGTAATTTTTTAGAAATTTTAGAACAAAAAGATAGCTTTTTAAATTTATTTCTTTATAAAATGTTAAATAATAAATCTTTATAAAAGGTAAATAATAAATATCATATTGTACTTGGTTCAGACATTTTTATAATCATGTAAATAAACATTGCTGAGAGAGTCAAAAGTTGTACAGTTTCAAAGTAATTGCAATTATGAATTTTGAAAAATTGCATTTTCTGGGGATTTCTTTCATTTGCCCTTGACATAAATTCACTAAAATAGGTTGAGAGCATCTCTTCATCTTAAATATTTTGATAATTTTGTAATTTTTTATTAAAAATATAGCTTTTTAAATTTATTTCTTTATAAAATGTTAAATAATTTATTTCTTTATAAAAGGTAAATAATAAATATTGCATTGTATTTGGTTCACATATTTTTATAAATCTTGTAAATAAATGTTGCTGAAAGAGTCAAAAGTCAGACAGTTTCAAAAGAAATAACCACCCAATTGGCATACCATTTTTTTTCAGACCTGAATGTTAAACATTGCCAATGATTTTTGTTTTTTAATCATTTACTATATTTAAAGTGGTTTCACTGATAAAATGTTGAGAATACCATGGACATGACATGCAATGAATAAATTCTAAAGAGAACAGGAATTACAAAGAAACTTGATAACAATCAGAAAGAGAAAGCTGAATTTTTGAAAACACAATGAGAAAAGTCAGCTTGGAGAATGTAACACTCACAGGGCATATCAAAGGAAATCCTGATTGGAATGGCTGCAAAAACACATACTTCCCCAAATTTATAGACAAGACATACAGATACATGCTGGGATTTCTTCCTAAATAGGCCACTTCTTGGTCTCATCAGCCATATTTCTTTTCATTCTTGTCTTAAAGTCAGAATGTCATGATCTCTTGTTTGTATCCCCTTTTGTGTGTTAACACCATTCTTTGCCTTATTACTGTTGCTTTGCCTTGCAAATATTATTTGTTTGCTTTATATTATTTTTTACCCTGTTCTTTTCTTTTTCTTTATTCTTGCAAACTTTGTCAATTCTGTTTGTTGGGCATTTCTGTCAATTATATTTAACATTCACCAATTACTTGACACTACTTGACAAGTTTGAACAAATAGATGAAGTAACAAGTACTGAAAGGACAAAGAGCAAATATTGCTAAGAGGAATCCAAAATAATGAAGCTGTAGCGAACCATAACTAATTGACCACATCCCAAAGTGACATGGCCTACTGATTATTACATTTCAATCTTAAATTATTATTTTCTCCAATGGTTAGGCTGATCTAATAATTACTATTCCCATTCAATATTACTATTCCTTTACTTCAAGGTGATCTAGATCAGGTGTGTCAAACTGGTGGCCTGTGGGCTGCATGCAGCCTTTTACACACATCTTGGTGGCCCTCACAAAGGTTTCTATAGCCATAGTATACCAAGAATTGTGTCTATGTTGGTAATGCAAATTATTAAAAACAGTAAGATTTTTTTTTCATTGGTATGATTAGATTGTTTATTATATCTCAATGGTTTTTTTGTTTTTGAATGTCAGCAATTATTTTTAACTTCTGCTTAATCATGTGATCATCCTTGACAACTAAATAAGAACATATGTAAAGTGAAAATGTTTGTAATTTTGTCATATTTTGCCTTAAAAATGACAAATTCTATTCTATCACATAAAAGAGAAAATTATCTGAAGAAGGACATGTGTTTCAAGAAAAGTGGGAATTAAAGTACTTTTGTACCACTGTTAATGGAAAGATAAACTGTTTGATTTGCAACCACTGCATTGCGACACCAAAAGAATATAATGTGAAAAGACATTATGAAACAAATCATCGATTTTATGATAAATATGAAGGAGATATATGTGTTTCAAAAGTGAAGGAATTCAAGGTTAAGTTAACACAGCAAAAGAGTTGCTTAACAAAAATTCAGAAAGGCAATGTTAGTTCTGTTACTGCAAGTTTTGAACTCTGCAAAATGATCACCATCAATGGAAAATCTTACAGTGAAGGAGATTTAATAAAGTGATGTCTTGTAAAAACAGCTGAAATTGTATGTCCATTTCAAAACATTTCATTAAGCAGGAACACTTTTGCTGAATGGATTGATGAAAT